GCCCGCCGCCTCACGGCCCCGCCCGCCCGCCATCTTGTTAGCTCGCCCGCGCCTCGCGTGAGGCGCTTGCAGTCTCCTTCTTTAATTACAGGGGCTTACAGTGGGTGTTTGGGAATTTCGCCCTTTCCCCGACACAACGAAAATGCATAAATTCTCCCTCTGCCTCCTGTTCCTTATGCAAAATATCAGGTGGGCTTTTCTTCCTGAAACAGAACTTCTGGGAGCACAACCTCCGCCTCAGGGGGCCCTTAATCTAATCTTGCTTGGTGTAGTACATGTCTCTTGCATTACTCCCTTTCTAAATGGGAAGAGAAATTCTGGATAGCAAATGTGTCAAGTTCCTTGAAGACATCCAGTCTAGAGCCTCCACCCCTTTAAAAGTGGTGCTTGTTCAGATGGTTTTAAAACTTAAGTAGGTTCCTGTGAACAATGGAAATAAAGGTGGGAGCGTTGCAGTCCCCAGTGTGTCCCCCGTTGCTCTTTGGTGTCAGGTCCTGCTCTTAGGAGCCCTCAGTGTCTGTGTTGTCGCTGCCAGAAGTGTTTTCCCAGTCTGCTTCGTGGGGCCTGTTCTTTACCCTTCGCATTGCCCTTTTTCTGGGAAAAAAAAAAAAAAGGCCTTCTATTTTTGCAGCCCCCATATTACAATGCTGTAGAACTATCTGTGTGGTTCCGTACAAATGAGATAGTACAAGCAGTAGCCAAGATGAAAACTAACACAGAGGAGTCTCAATCCCTTCAGCTGGAAGCATGAGCCTCCAGTGATAAGCATGGTATTAAATTTACATCCTCCATTAATCAAGCTTGGGGACAGGGGAAGGTCAGAAGAGAGGCATTCAGCAAACCCAGAATCACACAGATAGGTCTATATTAGTTCTGTGTACTAAAGACCAGACCTTCGGTAATGCTCAAAGCAGTCCTTCATCCTCCTCCGCTCCTTCTCTGCCAAGTCCTCGCTGGCTGAGCCACGCTCTTTGCACTGAAATGAATCCAGAAGAATATCAGCCAGATTCACGTGAATATCAGAATCAATGGGAGCACCAGATAGCACGAGTCTGCTCTGGAAAGAGCAATTTACAGGCACTGAGAGGCTGACCGCCTCTATCCCGTCTTTGCAGGGCAAGACTTTTATATCCCAAATTATTCTGCATTTAAAAATCAAGGGGGAAAAGAGAGCCTTCAAATGACAAAGAGCTGTTTACAGCCCAAACCTTCACCTAGGAAAGCACTACAGTGTATGCTGGCTTCCTACATCTACCTGGGCCTGCAAAATGAAGCGCAGTGTGTCCATTTCTGGTTGTCTGCTGTAATGCACGTGGGATAATAATACATTCCCATTTAATACATTTAAGTATCACCATTTGGCATTCGCTCCAACTTGTAAATCTAAAATTCTATTTCTTGTACTAACAGTAATACTACAGACTGTTAAACTGAAAAAAAAATCAGGAGGAGAAATAACCAGCAGGTGAGTGCTCTGCAGATTGACAGTCACCCTTTTTAGAGAGTGAATTTTGCATGAAACACTGTTTTCCTGGAAAAGCAATAGCTGCTTTCCATGTTTCTCAAACCTGGTAGGGTCAGTCACTAACAAGAGCTTTAGAGATACTCCAGTCAAAATAAAGAAAAGTCCACAAATGTTCTCTTACACCAGTCGATTCTGGAGGCTGACTGTTCTCTCGAGTGCTAAATTGCAGGGTTTGTCCTTCAGTGCAAGCTTCTAAGAAAAATAAAAATCACAGCTTTAGTTACAATCATCCTTGCATAACTTCTCACTCCACCAGTTTGTCAAAAGGAGCTACCCACTGCTACGCAGACTTCTTTCGGATCAGTTTAATTTAACCTTTGCAACAAATCTCCCAACTCAATAGATTGTCCAGAAGATCAGAACAGAAGGGGCTTATTCTGGTGTGCTAGTTTCCTTTTTTCCCCGCCAATGGGTTGTGGAAGAGAATTTCAAGCTCTTAGAGGAGCTTGCTAATTCCCCCTCACTGCTGAATCATTTCCACTGGGGATGCCACAAAAACAGAACCAGTGACAGTGTTAATTACATGGTTCTGCTTTTGTGAAAATAACCTGCAACATTAAACAGAGGAGGAGAAGAAAAAAACCCTGTTGAATGCCCTGTTTTATGCTGTTTTCAGCTCTGCATCAAGCACAAAATATGGCTCAACAAAGTATCCTGGAGCCTTTTTTTTCACCTGGTACCAGGTGATTCTTCCTGGGAAAAGCCAGTAGACAGATCAAAAAAAAAGGCTTAAAGATCTAGAAAGATTTAATGACCCTGGTTTTATCACGTCATTCCAGAGTTCAGAGATATGGAAAACCCTTCTAGAATTATATAGTACAGAGAAAGCATTTAAAGCTTTCTCTCCCCAAAAAGCTTCACAAGTATTTCCAGCACCTGAGATGTTCTGCTTTTATAAACGAGAAGGATAGCAGCATGGCAACCAAACCTCAATTTGTGGTTATCTATTCTGAGTCATCTCAAGAAGATTTTGAACACTGCACCGTCCTCTGTGGAATCCTACCTCATGCCTTCCCAACAAAAGCCTTACGTTTATTATTCAGGTGCGTATCTTCATCTAGGTGACCATGAAGGGTAAGCTATGGGACAGAAACAAAGCAAGAGCATGAGAACCACCCTGTATCGTGTCCAAATTACTAGCTAGGAACAGATGCTTGGGCAAGAGTGCGGACCAGACCTTTCACTCGTGTGTCTTGCTGCCAGCAAATAGGGACCTTCTTGAGTAAGAAGTTATGGGACTATTCATGGATTTATTCTCTGTGATGCATCCAGCTCCTTTGGGCCTCATTTTTGGCCTCCAGACAATGTGACCGTCAGTTCCACAATGAAGTTATACACTAACTGAGAAGTCTTTACTACCGATCTCTCTTGGCTAATAGCAATAGTTATTTTTGCCTACCCTCAGGCAAGAAATATAACTAGAAAGTACTCAAAGTCACTCGGTGTCCCCTGGTTAGCTTAGAAGTGACATTTTGTCAGTTTTGTCTATTTTGCTGGCAAATACTATAGCTGTGTCCCTGGAAAATGCCAGGCCACTAGGAGAATCTCTCCCTGGTCTGTTTTGCTGCCTCTGTACTTTTAGATGCTGCTGTGAACCGAAAAATGCTATTATTTGGGAAACTGAGCACTACTGAGAATCCAGAACCATCCCAGAAGGAAGCTCGAGGTCAGCAGGGCACCCTACTCACTTCCTGAGACTCTCTGGAGGAGGTGTCATCCAGGTCAGATGTCTGAAATAAGAAAACCAGTAAGTTAATCATTTCTTAGAAGCAAGGAAGAGGCAGGACGGGATATACAGGGACTGAAAGCTAGAAAGAGAAGTGTGGACTTCCTCCCTCCTACAGCTCTGTCTGACCACTTGGAGAAAGCACACAAAACACCATGGTAATGAAAATCCCCTGTACACACAGTTTTGTTCCAGAAGCTTTTGCACCCTTCTCACCCTGCTCCAGTTTAATCCAAATGGCTCATAGGTGATCACTATTTTGAGTTCACCTGTTCAGCATCCCCTTGTCATCCTTGGACACACTCCCAACACAACCAGGAAAGGCCTCAGCTTGCAGCAGTCCAGCCCTATCCCTGCCTCACACCCAGCTCAGCCGATAGAACCATCATGTCTTTCATTTTTCTAAAGTCAACATTTCTGTGCAAATATTGCTGCCCACTGCTTGCTGAACTCGAGCTCTGGAGTGTTTTAGGTCCAAAGTCCTCAGAAGAGCCCCATTCCGAGCCCATGCCCAGCTTCCCAACCCTTCGGACACTTAACATTCCCACAGACCCACCGGAGTCGGCAGCTCCAGCTGCAGCGTCTTCAGCTTGGCCTCAGTAGCCAGTAACTGGCTCTCCTTTTGGAACAACTGCAGCTGCATCTCGTCACATCGCTCCCCCAGCTCCCGAATCTGCTTCCGATACGCATCCCTCTCAACCAGGTTCTTGGAGTACTGCGTGTAGAACTGCTCCCGCATCAGGAGCGCCTGGGGAACGGGGCAGTGTATCACGACAGGACATTCAGGGCTGCAATATCCTCCCGCTCGAGCAACAGCGCAGGAAGGAGCCGCTCCGAGGAGGGTGTTTTATTACCTGGTCTCTTTCGGAAGCCACTTCCTCCATCTGTTGCAAGACGACTTCAATGCGCTGCTTGTACATCTGGGAGTCCTTCCTCAGAGACATGCACTGCAGCTCGAGCATCTCTTTCTCCTCCAAATGCTGTTGGGACAAGATCAAAACCACCCCATGCGTGGGGCAGGTCAGGGGTACAGTCTCCCCATAACTGCTCTGCGGCAGAGATTGCTACAGTCAGGCCTGCACGCGAGGCCAGGAGCAAGGGCAACCCAAAGGCTGGTCAAGGTGACTAAGGGGATAAAGAATTGACATGTAATGGAACAGTTAATCATCATGTAACCTCCTGTCCTTCCCCAGGCTGAGGCACGGCCTATTAAATGACAGGCACTTAATGCTACAGAGAGAGAATACTAAAATGTTAGTGTATTAGAGAGCTTCATCTGCCTTTTCTTGCACCTCGCTCTGCCCAAAAAACCCCCCCCATACTTTGTCTTGGAGCACCTCGGCTTGCCGCAGCTCCCTGCGGAGGCTGTAAATGGTGTTCATCAGCTCCTGGTGCTTTCCTAGGATGTGGCTGCAGTCATTCTCCAGGGCCTCCTTGGAGAGGCTGTTCTCCAAGTTCTGCTCCCTGGCAACCTGCTGGACAAACAGACGGACATAAAGCAACCAGCGAGCTCCAGAGTCACTTTCTCCCCAGTCCTACGTGCTGCATTTGGCTTAAGAAGACACGGCCATCGCTGCCCCACACGATCCTCCCCGTGGCTGCCTCCCTGCCCTGCCCCTCAGAAGCCAAATCCAACCATCCCTCGCCAACCTGGAGAGTGTTCTGCAGCTCCTGGTTCTTGGCCAGCAGCAGCTCCTTCTCCTGCTGGATCTCCCACATCACCTCGTGGCTCGGGCGCTGCGCTATGGCGTGCTTCAGCTTCATGGTGTGCTTCCTCTCCAGCTTGCAGTCATCCTCAGCCTTCATGAGGCTGTGCTTCAAGCGGTCGATCTGCGGGAAGGTTCAGAGATGAGCAGGAACCAGGAGAACACTCTAGCCTACAAAGGTGCTTTTCTTGGGGCAGACATCTCGCTTCGTTCCCCAGATGGACATGGGGAATTTCCCATCCCACTCTGGTCTGGGCAGGTTTGGTGCTCTGGGGACCGGAGTCCTGCGTGCTCAGCAGGGCCACCCTAACGAGGGGGCCCGGTCCTCAATGGGGGGACTCTCCCTGCCAGCCTGCAAACCCAGGCCGTGCTGGGCTGGTCCATCAGGGCAGAGCTGAGCGAGGGGCTCAGCACATCCTCCCGAGAATCGCGTGAGGAGAAAGCTCAAAAAAGGGGTAAAGGACCTCGAGGAGCAGGTCGCGGTTCTTCATGAGGGCCGCGCTCTTCTCCTCGCTCTGCTTGGCGTAGCGCATGGCCAAGCTGTAGTTCTCCTCCTTGCACTTGCGCAGCTCCCGGCTCAGGCCGTCGCGCTCCTCCCGCATCCTGTGCGCGCGCTCCTGGTGCTTGCGGAGCAGGCTGTCCCGCACCCACATCTCGCGGACGGCGTCCTCCTTGGCGCGCAGCCACGCGCCCAGCTCCTGCGCCCGGCGCCGCTCCTCCTGCACGGCGCTCTGCAGCTTCGTGATCTCGTTCATGAGGAGCTGGCTCAGGCCCGACTCCCCCGCCGTGTCTGTGGGGCGGGAAGGGTCAGACCCCCAAAACGGCGGGGGGCATCGCGGGCCCCCCTTGTGCACAAGCCCTTAGGGCCCACAACCAGACCGGTCTTGCTGGCTTCCCTTGGCCTTTCCCTCTCAACATCGCTGACAAAAGGAAGGAAAAAATCCTTCCTAGGTGCCCCTGCTGGAGCAGAGGGTTTGGACTAGATGATCTCTAGGGGTTCCTTCCAACCTCAACCATTCTGTGATTCTTCCTCCCTGCGACACTGCGGGGCTGTTCTTGCCAGTTAACTGAACCCTTTGCAAACGCACAGGGGAAAAGCTCCCAATTCTGCTCATCTGAGCAGGGGAGGAGGAGAAGGGGAGGGGAATTCCCCCTCAAAGCACAAAACACCCTCAAATGATCAGAGTTTGGTTTTGTTTTCCGTAGCTATTACCTATAATCATGGAGAATACCCTGCTGGGGTCCTTGCCAGTTATTTTCTTATACAGTTGTGGGTAATAAAGCTCAAGACTCTCCAGAAATGCCTCAAAGCCCTTGCGGCCTGTCCGTTGGAGGATGTCCAGGAGAACACCTGAAATGACAGCAACAAGCTTTTCTACTCATCTGTTTCTCTCTTTATCCGTTTCTAAAGAAACAAGAAATTGTTTCACCATCCCACCACATGCAGGTTACAAATTCTGGACTCAAATTTCCAGAGAAATGCTTGGCAAGTTCCAAGTAACTGTTTAGGAGTATTGTAGCTATGGACCCGTGTGTCCCAGGAGACAAGGGCTGCACTTCACGCACCTGCCTTCCGCTTGCGCATGACCAGGCTGGGGTCATTAAGGATTTGTTCCTCGTCATCATGGCTAATCACCTGGCACTGGCGGAGATAGGGGGTTATATGGGAAGGATCGATCACAGAGATCAGCTTCACGCGGAAGTTCTCCAGGTTATTCCAACACGTCTCATCGTTATCCTCTTCCAGCATGTTGGCGAGGGAAAAATAGAAGCAAGTTGCGATGTCCTTCCTTGGAAACAACCCAAAACTCAGAGCAGCGTGGCACTGGGAGAGAAAACAGGTTAATTCACCAGGACGCGTCTTTTAGATCTGGGTCGCCCGTGTGATGTCCAGCTCGGCGGATTGCCTGTGCAACGTGGTGATATCGGAACTGCAGCCGTGTCCACGAGAGCTGCTAGGTGGAGATGCCAACACGGGGGCTGTCCCCAGTGCTCCTGGCACGTGTTTGAGGGAGAAGGGGCGCAAAGCCCTCAATAGGGGCTGCCCGTTAGCCCTGCTGAAGCTTCCTGCTCTTCCTCTCCAACACCCCGTCGCTCACACAGCACCCGCGTCCCATCGGCTCAGCGAAACCCCCTCGCCGAGAAGCAGAGAGAAAAAGGAATGCAGAAAACCCCTCCTTTACTCAGGCTGCTTTGATCGAAGTCAATTTATCTATTCAAATAAGAAACTCGAATAATTTTTCTTTATCCCTTTGCAGCCAGGCTGTTTCATAATGGGTAACTTCTGAAATCCTGGTCATTAATTAGCGTGCTCATATCACTTGTATTAGTTGATTACAGCAGCCATTCCTGGCTTGTGAACCTTGACGTTAGTGTTTTTCCTCGTTTTGTTTGTTGGGAAAAACAAAACACAGTTCTGACAACTAGCAGCTATAGAGGCCCTTGGATTTTACACACAGCACTGGCTGCATCTCTCCAAGGTCATTTCAAACTCGTTTCTCTGCTCCCGAATAGACAAAATTCCCAACATCTTCAGCGCGTACTCGCTACTCTTTATGTAGTCTGGATTGACACAAACCTACTTGTTACTTATCATGGAAAAAAACAGCTCGCTCTGCCTGACAGCAAGTCAGCCCCAGCAGATTACAAGTAGAAACACATTCCCCTGCGGAGAAATACCACTCCCTTCCCATAGAGCTGTAAAATCAGGTTTCTCCCTGTAAATACATGGACCAACCTGGGCTGGTGCGGTCAAAAGTCGCCTTGTCTGCGTCCTGTCTCGAGGGGAAACCCTTGTCTTTCCTGCAGGTTCTCCTTAGATTCTGGCTCGAGCAAAGCTCATTCCTGGAGCAAAAGCAGTTAAAAAAAGAGAGAAAAGGGGAAGCTATTCAGCTCTGCTCTGAGACAGGGAAGGAAGTGAGGAGGGAGAGAAAAAAAAAGGAAGCCAGAAATGAGAAAAAACATTAGTTACTGGTCATCATCACTGCAACTCAGCTGAAGTTGTCTTTGTGCCTTGGCTTTCCAGTGTGTCACTGACACACCAGCTAGGGAGGCTTCTTTGTGCCATGGTTGGAAAGAAGGGCTGATGAGATCAAGTCACGGAACAGCCCCGTTCAGCTGGTTTCAGGGGACAGTCACCGAGACTGAGCAGTGGCCCTTCCAGTCCCGTCCTTCAGCAGTTAGCACATCCCAGCAGCAGGAAGGCAGCAGAGGGAAAACTTCTGCAGCGCTGCCTCTAACTTCAGATGTCCGTAGGCTTCAAGCACAATAATGACAACTCACTATCTTGAAAGAAAGGGAGTCAAATCTTGGCAAAGTAGGGAATGTAACCCACGATTCCCAAATTACAGGTTATGGCTGTGAGCATAATTGAAGGAGCAGCACAGAAAGCAGCACGGTGACAATCTCGAGCATCAGCTTCTCCCGCCTGCCTCTGCCCCTTCCCACAAGCCTAGAAACGCAGCGGCAACAAGAACTGCTGCTTTACAGTCTCGAGAAGGTACATGCTGGTACCATGGCAGCATGACACATCTTCCCATTAGCTTCCCACTCCGCTCTTTGTTCTCGTTTCTGGAGTTTTCTCCACGGCTGTCATTCGGAATGGGGCAGAGATGCTCAGAGATCCTACAAGCCTGTGCTTATTAGTCATTAAATTAACTTTATACTAAAAAAAGATAAAAAGATGCAATGCCTCTCTTAGCTGCGCCCTCGCTGAAGGGAGGGGAAGTTGAAAGTCTCCTAATTGATGGATCCGGGCAGGCTCAGGAGCTCTGGAGTAATAGATCAGTTTGATGCAGAAAATGATGGAAGATAAAGGCAGCTGATCCAAGCCCAGCTCCATCCTGTGCTTTTAGCCACACACACATATTCATTCCCCACGTCCCCCCCATACTTTTGTTTATGGAGCCTGAAAACTGTTAGGTATCCACTCGGACTTCCACCAAAGCATTAATTCCCAGAAAAATAACGACACAGAAGAGATAACTTAAGTGAGAAAAATAAAATATCTGTATTTCAGTAAATACTCAAAACACATTTTGATACAAAATTAATTTACTGCTTATTTGGCAGCATTATTTCAGTCAGTTACTTGTCAAACAAAAATATTGTCACAGCGCTAAAAAAAAAAAAAAAATCCACAAAAGACAGCAAACAAAAAACCACTCCCTCGGTGAACCACATGTTCTGAAATTAGACAAGCTTTCCCATAAATAGCGGCCAACACAAAAAGGAAATAAATACCTAGCACTGCTGGCTTCCCCTGATCTCAGCAACACCTATGGCATCACCTATGGCAGGCAGTAGTTTGAAGAAAAACAAAATCGTTCTGTGCTGGGAAGTCTTCACCTCCTCCCCAGGATTTTGTTTTGTTGTCTGCAGTTTGTTTAAATGCATCGACTTGGTTAGGTTATGGGAAGAGAAAAAAGAAAGAGAAAAAAATTCAGTGCAGCCGTTTTCCTTCTTCCCTGGGTCTGTGTGTCCGGCTTGCTGGAAGCGTTAAGTGAACAGTGCAAAACCAGCTGCTGCAGCCAGGCAGGAGGGCAGAGCCCCATTTTCTTTCCAGGAGACTCCTATAAAAGAGCACAAACAACTCCAGTTAATCACAGGACGTTTACAGAAGAGTCATCACTTGGGAGTTCCTAAAAGCAATTCTGCAGAAAAGTGAAACCCAAACCACCTCACCTGATGAGCAAGGCAGCCACGCGCAGCACGGGCCAAGCAAGGCTTCGTTAAAGCGCTGTGAGCCTGTGCCCTGCCAAAGCTGCTCTGTCACGTGCAGAAAAATCAGGCCCGAAGAAAAGCCCCCCAAATTGTTTAAAGAAAGATTAAACACCATAAAAAGGCCCCATGGTCTCAAGCCCCGGTTTCCCCCCCAGCCATTATCCACTATTATTCCCTTCCTTTGAGGGGGGCTGTGAATCAGCTGTGGAAGATTCCCAACTGCACAGAGAGCTGCCACTACCTGCACAGGGCTGACAGGAGTGTCAGAAAACTCAGAGCAAGGAGCTCCTGCTGGAACCTGCTCCAGGGATTCGTTTTGGCTTCTCCTGCAGGTGTTCAGGGCTCGCACACACGCGCCTCTTCTCACCCGTAGCTCTTCAGGCTTCCTTGTCCCCAAACCAATGCAAAAATACAAGATTCCCAGAGCAGTTACTAACCCCTTCCCTCTCACGTCCTCTTCCTTTTCCTGAAGCGGGCACTTCTCCTGATTTGAGGAGCGCTGGCAGCGGTCGCATCCTCTGGAGCCATCTCTTCAGTCTCCATGTCCTGCAACACAACCAGAGGACACTCCTCACAATAATGCACACTGGGTACAGTTCACAAGAAAACCTCTTAAACCATCTCTTTATTTTAGGTGCTCAGCAAGATTTTCAAAATAATCTTCCATTCACATTCTGAATTAAGCACCGGCAACGACGCTGCATCACCGGTGTCAGAGCAAGCACAAAGCGCCCCAACTGCATCGCGTTTCATAAAACATCCAGCCAACCACGGCTGACATTTCCCAGGGATCACAGTCCCACTTTGCACTGACTGACTACAGTGTTGCTAAAAAGCAGGGGAGAAGGAAAGCTGGTTGTTGAAGATGACACAGGACTGACATTAGCAGCGAGTCTGGAAAGGCTACCAGACAGCGAGAAACTGTCAGTGACTTTTGGACCAGCTGCTCAGAGTTCAAATTACCCTGAACGTGACCCAGATGCAAGAGTCAGAGGTGCAGTGGAACAGTTACTGCTGGCTCCTACTATGGGAAAGCTCCAGTTTTCAAGCTTTCACCAGCTGCAAAACTGTGCTAATTCAAAAGAACCATTAAGGGCCAGAACTCTGTCCCACTAAGATCAAGAGGGCTTCCTCCTTGGGTTACAGTGGGAATGATGTCTAGTGAGCAGCAACTTTCTGCTTTTAATATGCAAGAGCTCCATTTTACCTGGTTGGCTAAGTCGGCCTCGCGGTGCCCAGGCTCGGTGCCAGCTGCCCCATCCAACTCTTCACCCGGCAAGTCTTCCCCACAGCTCCCTGCGTCTGCTTCCTCCTTCCCGCTCTGCCACTCCTCTTCATCACTCTCGTTGTATTCCCTTCTGCTGACGGACAGGGTCGTTGTCACTTTGGGAGGAGGCAGCGTTGCTAGCACAGCTGGGAGTGTAAATGCTGCCAGGAATCTGGCTTTTAACAGGAGATACGCAGGGTTATCACCAAGTTTCTGCTCCACCAATTCTCTGATAGCTTCCAGGGTATCCCTAGGCTCCTCGTCCTGACTTGAATCCGCAGGCAAAAGACACGCTGCACGCTCCTCTAAAGCCGCCTTCTGCTGAAGTAGCTTTGAAAGAGTTTTTAAATTGCACAGAAAAGGTGGCAAATAAGGCAGCCTGGTCTGCAGCGGGGGTACGTGGACACCTTGCTTCCCACTGAGCCACTCCTTGACTAGCGCCTCGTCTTCCAGGGAGATCAGGCTGAAGTCGAGCGGGTTCTTTTCCGCGCTGGGAGTCGCTGGCTGGGGCAGCTGCTCTGCAGGGGGTTTACAGGCAATGGGTCTGGTTTTCACTACTGGAGCTGCCACGCAGTGGAGGATACCTGGGACAGTGCTGGGAGGAACCGCATCTCTTGGCTGGAGCACGGCTGCTTTCCCAGCGATGGGTGGGTTGGAAGGTGATCCCTCTAATGCAGTGGGGTCACAGCTCTTCCCCAAACTCATGGCACTTGGCACACAGTGGGAATGGCACCCTTGGGCGCTTGCAGGTGGCTGCACATGTGGCAGTACTGCAGTTTGTAAGGTTGGTCCATCAGCTGGAAAAGTAGCCTGAGTTGCAGAGGAGTCAGAAACGTTGGAGAACCCATTTGGACACGCAGGTGTTGGCGGCGCGTTCAGCGAGCGGCCCCCAGGATGTGCTGAGGTTGCAGGGAAGAGCAGTGCGGAATGGTTCCAAGCAGCCGCCTTTCCCAAGAGCGGCGCTCCGGCCAGCGCCAGACTCGGAGCTTCTGTCCCTGTCCTGCTCGCGGGGGAGCCGCTGTGGCCCTC